CTTCATAGCGATCTGCAAATGTCTTAAAAATGGCCAAGCTTTTGTCAGGTATTCAAAGGATGTCTGAATCCCCAGGGCCCAAAGTGAAAACCAGACACTGTTAAGAATAACTTCTGGGGTTGGAGAGTTGGCTCAGTGGTCAAGAGCACTGACTGCTCTTCCAGAGGACCCAGGTTCAATTCCTAGAACTGCATGGCAACTCACAGCTGCCTGGAAACAAACATCTGTAATTCCAGTTCCAGGGGACCCAGCACCCATGGCAAAACAACAATGCACATAAAATAAAAAAAGAACATTGAAACTCATTCTGAATTCTCTTTAAAAAGGAAGGAAGGAAGGAAGGAAGGAAGGAAGGAAGGAAGGAAGGAAGGTCCCTGTATGGGGAAGAATAAAACAGAAAATTTGTTAAGGTCCCAGGCACAAGTGGCCCAGACCACACCACACTCCACAAGCAGGAGCTCTGAACCCAGGGCCTCAAGCTGCATCCTGCCTCTGAGCCCCAACCCCAGACATGTTCTCAAAAATAACCTTTACCTTCTTTTTCTTGATCTAAGTATTTCTTTATGTTTTCTGCTCTATCCATGTAGTCAGAGATTTTCTGTCTGAAAGCGCATCTCTTACTGGCATCTTTGGTGCCTACAAATTGAGAAAAAGAACAGGGGTTTTTGTCAAGTTTCCCACAAATTCCCTGCCATTTATCACTGTGCTCCAATCCAGTGTGCTCGAGTGTCCTTCTGTAGTTCTGGACAGATACACATCTATCTCTTGGATATGACTGGAGTGTACCTCCTTCCTCCGAGGTTCAAGAATGGGAAGCTCAGTCCTGTGTGACAATGTTAAGTAGTGGAGTCTCCAAGTAGTAGAGCCTAGTGGGAGGTGACTGAGGTGCTGCCCTTGCAAAGCATTAATGAGTTCCCTATGGTGCCAGTTATTGCCCATAAAGAGTAGTTACATAAGACTGGGCAAGCAAGCAAGATGTTTCAGCAGGTAAATGTACTTGCCACTAAGTCTGAAATTCTAAATTCCATCCCTGGGACCCGAATGGTGAGAAATGACTGCCAATTGTTCTCTCACCTCCAGATGTACTTTGTGGCATTATCAAGCAGATATTCTCTCTCTCTCTCTCTCTCTCTCTCTCTCTCCACATACACACACACACACACACACACACACACACACACTCATAAATGTAAAAAAGACCGAGACAAGCCCTTCCCCACTCTGGCTTCTGGACTTGAAGGGTCACAGTGAGTGCTCTCACATGCCTCCTACCATTTTGATGTCCCTGTCCCCAGCCTGCTAGGCTGCTGCTAGCTCCCAAGACCTACAGAGCAGCTCACTGATGGGACACACACAGACTGAGGCTGTCCCACCTTGACTGAAGGCCAAAGAGTTTGAGTTTAACAAGTGTGGCTACACACCCTGACCTAGGGTGTAGTTACTTGTGTTTCGGACATTAAGATGGCCATAGAGGTGGGTCCGCTCCACCATGACCAAAGGTCAGAGAATTCGAGCCTATTTATGCCCCTTCTTTTAAAATATGAGGTTTGACATAGGGAGTGGCTACCTACAGGATACTTGGTGCAGGGTGTGTTCATTGCATATTCCTGCCCCAAACATCACTTACTTTACCCAGGAAATAATGGCTTGATGTCCCAAGTATTGAAGCAAGTAACTGTTGTGATTGTCCTTTGTGTCATTTTAAAGCAGTCTCTTGCTTTCTTCCCTCCCCCCCCACTGCCCCGCTTTTGTATTGGGGTATAAAAGCATATGAAAATTAAACACAGGCAAATTCAGTATTTAGTATCCACTCAAAGTCCCTTCCGATGTTGTTCTGTGTTTCTCTCTCTTAGTTCTCTCATATCTCTGTTCCTTTTTCTTAATAATTCTAATCCTTACTCTCCTACCCTGGAATGTATGAGTTTTGTCGAAACTGGTCTTCAGCACCTCACCAAGCATTGAACACTCAATAGCTTTTCTTGCATAAGGTTTCAAAGTCCTTCCACAACCCTCCCCCAAAAACATGGTCATGTCTGTCACCCACTATCCTGGTACCAACTTGTGGTTAGGGTTTCTACTGCTTCAACAAAACACCATTACCAAAAAGCAAGTTGGGGAGGAAAGGGTTTATTTGGCTTATACTTTGTGTGTATGTCTTTGTAGGCTGTCCTGGAACTCACTCAGTAGACCAGGCTGGTCTCAAGCTCATAGAGATTCACCTGCTTCTGCCTCCCAAGTACTGGAATTAAAGGTGTGCACCACCACTGTGTCAGGCTTGGTTTACACTTCTTATGGTACTATGCATCAATGAGGGAAATCATGACAGGAACTCAAACCGGGCAAGAACCTTAGGTAACAGCTGATGCAGAGGCCATGGAGGAGTGCTGCTTAGCGGCTTGCTCTTCCTGGCTTGCTCAGCCTGATTTCTTATAGAACCCAGGATCACCAGCCCAGGGATGTGATCATTCAAATGGGCTAGGCTCTCCTCCATCAATCACTAATTAAGAAAATGCCCTACAGAGAAATCTTAAGGGAGCATTTTCTTAATTGAGGTTCCCTTCTTTCAGATAAATTTAGCTTGTGTCAAGTTGACACAAAACCAGCCATAACACCTGGAGAGAGGACTTGGAGGACAGGGTTTGCCCAAATAACAATGTTGATATTTGCTATGTGTGCTGGATAGGTTTATGTCAACCTGACACAAGCTAACGTCATTTTATAGGAGGGAAACTCAATTAAGAAAATGCTTCCCTAGGCAGGATAGCCCATGCCTCTAATCCCAGTACTTGGGAGGCAAAGGCGGACAAACCTTTGAGTTTGAGGCCACCCTGGCCTGCAAAGGGAGTTCTAGGGCAGCCAGGGCTACACAGAGAAAGCCTGTCTGGGAGGTGGGGGTGAAGAGAAAATGCGTCCATAAATTTGGGCTCTAGGGCATTTTCTTTATTAGTGATTAGTGGGGAAGGGCCCAGCCCACTGTGGGTGGTGCCATGCCTGGGCTGGTAGTCCAGCACGCAGAGCAAGCTGTGAGGAGCAAGTCTGGAAGCAGGAACCCTTCATGGCCTCTGCATTAGCTCCTTCCTTCAGGTCCCTGTTTTGCTTGAGTTCCTATCCTGACTTCCTTCAGTGATGGAGTGCAACAACATGGAAGCGTAAGCCAAATAAACCCTTTCCTCCCCAACTTGTTTTTGGTCATAGTGCTTCATCGTAGCAATAGTAACCCTAAATAGGACAGTCAACCAATCAAAAAAATTAATAAAGTTGTATCTCTGTGGATAGATAAAGCTGCTCCCAGAAACATGAGTCACTAACAGTAAACCCCAATGCTGGGAGTGGGCTACCTCACTAGGTCTTGGTCAAGGAGGCCTGTGAGATCCCCAAAACAATATAGGAATTGCGACTGCTTTTGGATGCCCACCAAAACTAGCTGGTAAGACTCTTGCTGAACACACCACATGCCTTGGTCACAGGACAGAGAGACAATCAAGCTGGAACTGGGTTCAAAGCTTCCTCGATGGATAGTTCTCATAGTGGTAGAAGGTGCTACACAAAGCCTGGCGGTGGTAGCTCACGCCTTTAATCCCAGCACTCGGGAGGCAGAGGCAGGCAGATCTTTGTGAGTTTGAGGCCAGCCTGGTCTACAAGAGCTAGTTCCAGTACAGGAACCAAAAGCTACGGAGAAACCCTGTCTCGAAAATCCAAAAAAAAAAAAGGTGCTACACAAGCCACTACACAAGATTGTCTTATTCAGTCATACATTGTGTTAGAACCAACCAGCAGGGCCAAATAAGCCCACTGGTGCAATAGTGGCATGGTGTTATGTGTTATGGAACATATGGCAAATGTTCTAGGGTACCAAACTGCTTTCTGACTGGATCTGATGCCTGCCTGACAGGAGAGAATTCACATCGGATTGAAAGTACAAAACCCTGGAGGTCATAGGTCCTGGGGGGGGGGGGGGAGCTCCTCCTGTGGTTTTATTACCTTTACCTTCATCCCCAGGCTAGGGGACCATCCAGAAGAAAGAGCAGAAGGAGTAAGAGCCAGAGGAGGAGTGGGACAGACTCAAGACTTTCTAGCATGTTGCTCTCTAACTTACAGCAGCTCTAATTACCTGTACAAGATCACCACAAACTTGGGCCTGTTAGCACTGTTATGAAAGAGGTAGAGGTTCAAGCCCCTCCTCACGCATCTTTATGTATGTATATGTGTGTGTGTTTGTTTATAAGTTGTTGATGGGGAGAGACAGTCTATTCAGTGGTGTAGTCACTGATAAGGTGCACATATTCCTGTAAACAAATTTCCACCCTAATGGAACCCACTGGGTTATAGTGGGGGTGGAAAGGAGAGACAGAGAGAGTAAGGGGGAGAAAAATCCTGTCGCAAACTGGCAACAACAAAAATAAGATTCATTCAAACGCAAGACCTAACAAGGCTTATGTCTTCTATTTATGTCTCTTAGGTTTCAGAATAAGCTCCTTCGTGATAACATCAGTCTATTATAAAGGCAACCACCTCCGTTGTCCAGCAGAATATCAGACTATAGCTCCTAAATTTGAATGCTTCCTAGTAGTTTGAAAGTTTCGTTTTCTTAGGTTTCACACTGTCCCAAATAGAGCGGAAACCGAAACTAGCTCACCTTTTAGAACCTGCAGGAGCATATCAATCCCCTCCTGGTAACACACCAGAGCCTGCTGGTACCGGGACTCCGCATCCAGCTCCACTGCTCGCTTTAGCACCGCCACCGCAGCGCTGCTGTCGGGATCCTGCCCCAAGCTGGACTTGGCCATCACAGCGAGAACTCCTGGGCTTCCCACGGCTAGTCCCCTACCCGAGGAAGCGCACACGTGACACCGCTGCGCCTGCGCAGTCTTCTGTGGCGCTTTATGAATGGGAGTCACTGGGCCAGAACGAAAAAAAATACCATTGCCGGAACCAAAGAGCTGTGCGCCCCGTGACAGCAACGGCGCGTTGTGAGTGTTGCACTGAGTCCGCTTACCTCCGTTCCGCTTCTTCCGGCTGCACCGAGAGGTCGCGGGTGAGTCGGGTTGCGGGAGTTATAGGCGTTGTGTGTTTTCACGTAGGCTTTCTCTGCAGGTGTTGACTTCCTTTTCCGTTTCGAGCTGGAGGTCCCGGCGACGTAACTAGGTCTGTGTCCAGGACCGGTTTCTTGGGCTTCTAAAAGCGGTCGGATTGTTACTTTATTCGCGAGTTGCTGGGTCGCGCGTCTCTTTGAGAGTCTCACTCTTGTAGCTCTCGGTCTGAGACATCCAAGTCTGTCTGCTCGGGAATGTCGGTAGCTTTTCCAGTGTTCGTCTGGTTTATAACTCTAGGAAGCTCATTGAGCATCAGTGGGAAAAAAAATTCTAAAGAAGGCAAAACTTAATTTTCAGTTACTGCGACTCAGAATGCAGGGTTTTTTTTGCTTGTTTGTTTTGTTTACAGTTGCTGTTTACTAAAGACAATGATTTGATTTTGCAAGCTGCTTTGATTGTCAACTCTCTAGCTCCTTCTCTTTTGGCCAAGAGGCAGTTAGGACGGCTGCCTCCTACTTTTAGGCGCTGAAAATTCAAGGAAGAGAGACAATTGTTAATTTTAGAGCCCTCGGTTGATTGGATGGGGAATTCTATGTTCTGCATTTTCAGGAATGTTCACACCCCGTTATAGATGTATACCTTGTTTCTTTAGAAAGAAAAAACCTAACAACTTAAGAGCTGGTGTAGTTTGGGGTTAAAGAACCGTTTCGCTTCAAAGTCATTGTAAAAAGCAACACAAGCAAACAGGAAAAACAACAAAACAAAAACCAAGAACAAAACTGAGACGCTGGGGGTGAGGGAGAAGAAAAATGGCTTGGACAACCTTCAGATTTTTCTGTTTATACACATACATCCATATGTATAGAAATAGTTTATAGACCTCATGTGCTCCATGGTTTTTCCAGTTTGTTTTTATGTGTATGGGTGTTTTACTTGTTATGTCTGTGCACCACGTGCATACAGTGTCCAAGGAGACCAGAAGATTGTCAGAGCCCCTGAAACTAGAGTTATAAACACTTGTAAGCTGCCATGTGGATGCTGGGAATCAAATCTGGGTCCTCTGGAAGAGCAGCCAGTGATCTTAACTGCTGCGCCATTAACTTTTCTGCAGCAGTACGGAGGAAAGCTGATGTACGGCAGATGGCAGTATAATTGCTCCAAGGTCCCAAAGTTACATGCCTAATACGAGTTACCTACTTTATTATTAAGACATAAAATATTGAAGCTGAAGAGTACTAGTTCTGAGGACTAGGTTTGGTCCTCAGTACCCACCCCAGAAACAACAACAACAAAAGCTGTTAGTTTTGATGTTGACACTGCTTATATCTGTAAGTTAAACTTCAGCAGAAAATCTTGAGTGCAGATGCTGTTTTGAGAGGTGCAAGTATTCCTTAAGGCAAGGGATTGAGAGTGCTAGCCGCAGTGTGGCTGAAGATGTTAACCGGTTTAGTAGAGGTAGACCTTACTCCATAGAAGTCATTTGCTGTAGTTCGTTGAAGTGATGAAGTTTTCTCTGCTTCCCCGGAGGGAAAGGAATCCATAAGAAACAGAATTCTTCTACAGGAAGCGTTATTTCTCTTTCCAGTTAATTTACCCATGTATATTTGTGTGAACATTCCCACATTTTTTTTTTTTTTGCTCCAATTATAAGCTGATGCTTGTCGCTCCAGTTGGGCCACTGGGAGTTCTTTCAGTGTGTCTGTCCCTTTAATACATCCCCATGGATTTGCCTTTCTGAGTACCTCCTTTACGATGCCACGGGGTGCAACAGACCATCAGCTGCTTCCTGAAGCCCAGCTGAAAAGTTAAGCAGCACTGGATGAGTTGGATTTGCAGATAATGCTTAACTCGGAAGAAGTGTGAGAAAATAGCTTGGGATTTGATTAGTTCAGCTTCTGAGTAGTTTTTCCAGGGTCCAGCTCTTCTCAAGTGACATCTTAGACTACCAGCTGTTACTTCGTTCACATCACAGAAGGTTATAGACCTCGTGAGCTAGAATCTGGTTGGGAAGTAGTACAGCACTTACCCTGTTTGGGGTACAGAGCTACTATTTCTAATGTTATATAAAATAGATAATTTGTAAGCTAGGTACTGTTTTCTTTAGAGGGGAAAACTATACACCAAGTATCTGTTCAAGGCATACATATAATTCATGAATCTCATCTTTCTGCTTTCGATTTGCATTAGGCTACACCTCTTTTATGCCTATCTGAATAAATACAACTTTTTGAGGTTACCGAAACAATGCAGGGGGCTGGAGAGATAGTTCAGAGGTTAAGAGCATTGGCTGCTCTTCCAGAGGTCCTGAGTTCAATTCCTAGCAACCACATGGTGGCTCACAACCATCTGTAATGAGATCTGGTGCCCTCTTCTGGTATGCAGGAAGAACACTGTATACATAATAAAAAAATTCTTAACATCAAAAACAAGCAATGCAGAAGAATCATTTTTAAAAATACTAAATAGGCAAAAAGTGACCTGTTTTTGTGTGTATGCATTGTTTGCACATGTGTGTGAAGGTTAGAAATGTATACCTTACACATTTGCCACCTTATTTTTGAGATGGGGGTCTCACAACCTGGAGCGTTCCAGTTTCAGTAGGCTGGCTGGCCAGCACGTTCCAGCTCCTCTAGCTCTGGGGAGAAAGATACAGGCCATCATATCTAGCTTTTCCATAGCTGCTGGTTATTTGAATTCAAGTCCTCAGACTTGCACAAAAAGTACCTTAGCAACTGGGCAGTCTTTTCAACCCCAAATTCCCATTTTTTTTTTTGTAACAGAAAAGTGTAAGTGATCTAGTGAAAATATATTGAACTGCTAGCTAGAACTGGGTTGAGTACATTGCTTTTTTTTTTTCCTGTTTTACTTGTTTGAGACTTCTGTTTGCTTGTTAGATCTTGCTGTGTAATCCAGGATGACCTGAAGCTCAGAATCTTCCTGCCCCTGGCTCCCCAGGTGTCGGGTTATAGGCATGTGTCCCAGTGTCCATCTGTACACGCTCTCTTAATGGCTAGCTACCCTCGTGTAAATACTAGCTTTCTGGAAGTGGTTTTTCTCGTATGTATAGTAAGAGGGTACTTGATTCTGACTTTAAGAGGTGGAATTTCTTCAGTCTTGTCTAGTTTCGTACATTCTGTGATTTCTCCAACCAAGAAAAAGGACCAAATATTCTTTATGTGTGCTGTGAAGAGTTTCAGGTGATAGAAACTCCCATTTCCCAGTTCCAATGGGCATAGACTCTAAACTCACTAGATGGGAATAGGATTGCTTAGTGTATGATCACCTGTGGTTTTACCGCTACAGAAGGGTTGTAAATCTGTCCATCTGTAATGTGTTTGACCGCTAGTCTGTTTCCTGCTTTTCAGCCTCTGCGGGGAAGAATTACTACACTTATGGCTGGTGTTTTGTGTTCAGTATTTCAGAGGCCTCCAGGCAGACTGCTGGTAAGTCTTCTCTGTGTTTCTCATTTAACTCAGGCAGACCTCAAACTCACTGTATAGCTGAGGATAACCTTGAACTTCTGCCTCCAGCATTGCAGTGCTGGAGATCGAACTCCAGAGCTCTGTGCATGGTAGGCGAGCACTCTGCCTTTTGAGCTACATCCTTAGCCTAAGAGTTTGTTTGTTTTTTTTCTCTCTTTTTGATTATAAAACACACAAGTGGCTTGGTGCTGGTGGCGCACACCTTTAATACCAGCACTTGGGAGGCAGAGGCAGGCTGATCTCTGTAAATTCAAAACCAGCTTGGTCTTAAAACAGCTAGTTCCAGAACAGCTAGGGTTGTTATAGAGAGAAAACCTGTCTCGAAAATCAAAAAAACAAAAACAGAAAACCACACAAGCAAGTTGTTCTTTTTAAAAGCTCTTTTTGATATAAATTAATTGGATTTAGTTTGTTCTATTTATCTAATGGTGACAAAGATGATACTCAGGGCCTTGTGAACACTGTGCAAATGCTGTGGCTGAGACCAAGCTCACTCTGGCTGAGCTGTGCTCTGGCCCTTATTTATTTCTGTTTTATGTGCTATTCTCTATTTCCCTAAATATTTTCAGCCACAAAACATCTTTTCCTATAGGTCAAAGCAGATAAAAAGTCTACTGCTGATTCCCCTTAATCTCTTTTAATCTTCAAGTTTTAAGAGAAACCCTTCAATTATGAAAAGTATACATTTTCAATCACAGAAAGTCAGATATACTTAGAAAAAGCAAAAGATAATCTCCCAAATGTTAGGAATGCATTAGCATTTCATTAGTATTTCCTTCCAGTATTTAGAGAGTGGGGTGGAATGGCTAGTGTCCACATGGAGACCAGACTGGGCACAGACTGCTCCTGACAATAGGGAAGGAAGTGTTGGCTACTTCAGGTTAGCTTATGAATTCAGAGGATTTCCTTTCTGATACTTTCGAAACTGATCCCCCAGGAGGATGTGTGTTTTGAATCTTGAAGTTGTAAGCTGCATAAGTAGAATTAGAAGCCTGGTATTTCTGGTATACAAAAGCCAGGTGTCCCCTTTCTTACCCCTTCTGGACTTACTCGCTGGTTGTTGGTGTCAGCTCTGAGGTTCAGGGGAGGCTAGAGGAGAGTGACTGTGTGAAAGGCTGCCATGAATCTTGTTTCCAACTGCAAGAGTAAACTAGGATTGAATAGTGCAGACGAGGCAGAGGTGGGCCTGGTGGAGGTGTTGGGCAGGAAGAACTTACTGTGGATTTGAATGTTGTTTTGAGACAATGTCTTAACCTATAGGCCTGCCCCTACCTCAGCCTGCCACTATCCCTACCTCCTCATTTGTTTTTTTTTTTAAATTTTAAAACAATCTTTTGTTTTGTTTTACATACCAATCCCTCTCCCTCACTTCCTCCCGCTCCCCCCCGCCCCACTTTCCCCAACCCCACTCTCCATCCACTCCTCAGAGAGGGTGAGGCCTCCCATGGGGAGTCAACAAAGTCTGTCACATCACTCGAGGCAGGACTAGGGCCTCCTTCATGTATCTAGGCTGAGCAAGGTATCCCTCCATAGGGAACGGACTCCAAAAAGCCAGTTCATGCACTAGGGATAAATCCTGGTTCCACAGCCAGCAGCCCCACAAGCTGCCCAAGCCACACAACTGTCACCTACATTCAGAGGGCCCAGCTTGGTCCTATGCAGGTTCCCTAGCTGTCAGATCAGCGTCAGTGAACTTGGATTTCGTTTACATGATTTTGTTGAAGGTAAATTATTGCTTAGCGCCCAGCCTGAGAGTGGGTAAACTGGGGTTGCAGGTTTAGCTCAGTGGTAGAGCACTTCCCAGCAAGCACAAGGCTCAGTCCTCAGCTCCAGAAAAAACAAAAACAAAAAGACCTCCTTCTCCACAAATATAAGGTAACTAGCACACACACTTTAACTGGTTGTGGTGGTGCACACCTTTAATTATAGCATTTGGGAGGCAGAAACAGGAGGATCTCAGTGTTCAGGGGCAGCCTGGTCTACAGAGGAGTGAGTTCTAGGACAATTAAGGCTACACAGAGAAATCCTGTCTCCAAACAAATGAACAACAAAGAGTTGGTGAATCGTGACCTCCAGAGCAAATTTGAGGATCATCACTTATCTTAGAAAAATTATTTTGAAGCAGCTACTCCCATTTGTAGGAGGAGGCCGCTAGTTAGTTCCTGGCCACTTAGCCCCAAAATAATCACACAGAAACTATATTAATTAAATTACTGCTTGGCCCATTAGCTCTAGCTTCTTATTGGCTAACTTACATATTAATTTAACCCATCTCCATTAATCTTTGTATCACCACATGACTGGCTTACTGGCAAAGTTTCAGCACATCTGTCTCTGGCGGAGGCTCCATGGCTTCTCCTTGACTCCGCCTCCCTTTTCCCAGCATTCTGTTTAGTTTTCCTCGCCTAACTTTGTTCCCCTATAGCTCTGCTATAGGCCTAAAGCAGTTCCTTTATTAATCAATGATATTCACAGCATACAGAGGGGAATCCCACATCACCTGTTACTGCATTCAGTATTGAATACCAGTTACTGTATTGGTGGAGGTAGGTCTTGGCAGTAGAGACTGGGTAGGTAGCTCCAGAGATGGAAGTATTTGCCTCCACTCTTTGAGAGAAGGAAGTTACCAACTCGTGAACTGGAAGTTGATATATGTGTGCTTTTTGCTTTATCCATGCATTTAACCATTAGCTAGTATAGATTACAATACATCAGACATTTGTTACCTAACACTGATAGGTACAGATTTTCACACTACACTGAGTTGTGAATAACAAGTATTTTCTGCTGCAGACTGTGAAGAAAGGTGTGGAATCTCTCATTGGTACAGATTGGATTCGGCACAAATTTACCAGATCAAGGATTCCAGATAAAGTAAGACCTGTGTCTTTTAAAGAATATTTTCAAGAGTACCTATTTTATAAAATTTTACATTTAAAAAACTATTACATTGTGTATGTGTGCACGTATTGTGTCTACGTTTCCTTCTGCACACGTGTGTGCGCACGCTCTGACTGTGTACTGTGTGGAGGTATAGAGAGGGTTCTGTGGAGTCAGTTCTTTCCTGCCATCGTCTGGCTACTGGGGAGTGGAGCTCAGGTCCCCAGTTGTCAGGCATGGCAGCCAGCACATTCACCCTAGGCGCAGCTCGCAGCCTGCTGGGGCTCCTTTGCTTTTGCGTTACTTGTGCATAGAGATGTAGTAGTGTTTGGAGCACTGTAGGATGGTGACTGTTCTGCCCTGATCCCGTTGGTTTTCATAGGAACGGGCTCTTAATATTTCCCAGTCTATGTGTTCCTGATCATGGTTTTCCCTTTGTATATTATGGTTTTTATCACCACTGTCCTGAGAAATCAGTGAGTCCCATTGAGACTATCATGTGTGACTTTCTATGTGAACTATCGCCGATTGACGCCGATCTTTCTTTTTTTAAGTTTAGATAACACCGACTAAGCCCTCATTAATAATTTATTTTGTCTTGTTTTCATTTGTTTGGGTTTTACTTGCTTTCTTGCTCTTTGATTAGCTAAACTGTTTTGTAAGGTAGTTTAATTATATAGAAGAAAATGATCAGAAAATCACAAGGCTTCCTCTATGCTTCCTCTTTCCAACATATATTTTCCCCAATACTTAACATTTTATGTTGATATAGAGCAGTTATTAAAATAGATAAAATATGAAGGCCATCATTTATACTAGGGGTCATTCTTTATGCTGTGTATCCTGTGGATTTTGATAAGTATACAGTATCATGTATTCAGTATCCACGTGTCACATAGAAACCATGCATTGTGCCACCTGTTAACTTCCACCCATGACTTCTAAACCCTAGCAACCCGTGATCTTTTTGACTTATTTTGTGGTTTTTACCTTGCCCTGAATCTCACATTCTTAGAATCGTATAGCCTGTGCATAAGGTTTTGCCGGACCTTCTCATGGTTTAGTCATTTATTTCATCTTATGGCTGGATAGCAGTCCATGCCAAGGGTTTATAGTCTGCTTGTGTTCTCTCCTACGGAAGGACATTCTGCTTGCTTCTAGTAGGGGCAATAATGCAGCTGTGTGAGCACTTGTGTGCAGCTCTTGGTCTGGCTCTTAGTTTTTGGTGTCAGATATGTTTTGTCTACATATTTGAAAGCACAGTGGCATAATAAAGACCAGTCAGCCATAGCTTTATGTTTTCCTTTCTACTGGGTATTTCTTTTTAGGTTTTTAAATTGTGTTTTATGTGTACAAGTGCTCTGGCTGCCTGTATGTGTGTGCACCATGTGAGTGCCTGGTGCCTGGGAATGTCAGAAGACCTCAGCAGACTCTGGAAATAAAGAAATAGAGTTAGTATGGCTGTGAGTGTCATATGGATGCTGGGAACTGAACCTGGTCCTCTGCAAAGGCAACAGTGCTCCTGACTGCTGAGCCACCTCTCCAGCACCGCCCCTTATTATTTTTTTTTATATGATAAAGTATAAAGGACAGAATATCTCACTTGTCCTCAGTTTCTGGTTGTGAGTTTTTTAACTCTTGGGAGATTTGTTCACACTGGCTGCCCTGATTGGGCACTGGAGCCTGCACTGTTCTTCAGGTTCTTGCTGTCTAAATCCTTTCACATTATCTAGGGCTCTTGCTTTGTTCAGAGTTAAAAACCAAACCGAAACCTTTACCTGTGTGGTATTTTTCTTTTCTCCGTCCCTCCTCTCCAGAAAGGGTTTCTCTATGTAGCCTTGGCTTTACTGGAGCTCACTCTGTAGACTAGAGATCCACCTACCTCTGCCTCCCAAGTGCTGGGGTTAAAGGTGTGGGCCACCATCGCCCAGCTGCTTTTTCTTGAAGTATGTGATTCTTAAACTTCATCTGAACTCTTCAGTTTGAGGTTGAATATTACATAAAGATTAGGTATGAGATCCCTATTCAGTTTTGTTCGTATGTTGGTGTGTGTTCATTTCTGAGAGAAGGAATAGGAAATGTATAAAAATTGTACTTCTCCCTTCCTAGGTGTTTCAGCCTAAACCTGAAGATCATGAAAAATATGGTGGGGACCCCCAGCACCCTCATAAACTACACATTGTTACAAGAATAAAAAGTACAAAAAGGCGTCCGTACTGGGAAAAGGATACAATCAAGATGCTTGGACTGCAGAAGGTATGAGCAGTCCTTACCGTCATGGCAGTCTCAGTGTGCTCAGTCTCATGGTGCTAAACCCACACTACGTGTAGTTGTTATTTCTCATGTTTAATGCGCTACTTAGTGTGACCTACTTAGAAGTTACCTTAGGAAGGATATGCCTTCAGTTTGATGTTCCACTGAAGTGGTACTACTGCCTGTTAAATTGATCTATGCTATTGTTCCTCTTGTTCATAGGCACACACCCCTCAAATTCACAAGAACATCCCTTCAGTGAACGCAAAGTTGAAAGTAGTTAAACACTTGATACGTATCCAGCCCCTGAAGCTGCCACAAGGACTTCCCACAGAAGAGACCATGTCTAGCACGTGCCTCAAAAGCACTGGGGAGTTTGTGGTACAGTGGCATCTGAAGCCTGTGGAGCAGGAAACAAAGTCTTGATGTCACACGGCTGCAGATTACAAACTGCAGTTAGGAGGAAATGTTTCTCATTAAAGTGTATTTCAGTCTAGCCGTTTCCATGACGGAAGCTGTTGTGATTCTTTCTCAACATACAGACTTTAGGAGTTCTGATGTTACTTGGTTAAATTCTCTCCGTTTGTCCCCTAAAAATTTTACTCCATGGTGGGCAAGAATGGCATTGTTTTAACATCTAACTTTAGGCCCCTAACGCTTTAACTATCGTTATCTTTTTGTAGAAACTGCTTTCTTCCTTGGTTGCTTTCTCGTTGAATCTACAGATGTTGGAGTCAGTCCTGTGTCACTGTAACAAAGTCCCCAAGCTGGGTAGCCTGTCAAGCAAGGGGGTTTGGGTTTACTTTGGTCCTAAGCCCTGAAAAGTCCGAGCCAGGGCAGCATATCTCATGAGGACCTTCTGCAGGGTTCTAGTATGGTAGGTGACATCTCACAGTTGTTGTTTTTTTTTTTAATTCTATTATTCATTTTCATATAAATTAGCATTCTAAAACATTGAAATAGAAACACTAAAATACAGTATTGCACATAGCGATCTTTGTTAAATGTCCTGTTACTTCATTGAAGAGTGGTAATATACACATGGGAAGTACTGAGGGATAGGAGAATTGCAAAAGAACAACAGAAGAAAATAAAACACTACTGCTCCTCTGCATAAATACCAAGTAAAAGGAAAGAGGTCGTACTTTACATAAATACAAGTATAGCTGTGATTTAGAACATTATGTATCTCTTTAAGTTGCTTTTCATAATTGGTTTGTAGTAGCAATAAATTTTCCCCCTTTCTACTCCTATAACTTTTAACCAATATTATTAACAGCCATTGAAAAGAACAACTATCACTGTTATTCAAAACCCTCTTAATGTGTTATGAGTTTACTTCAAAATATGCTCGGAAAGAATGGGAAACTCCCCTGTCTTCCCTGACAGCAGAGTGAGTAGATCCCTTCCCTGGAACCCTTTGGATGCAGGATGAAAGCATCTTACCTCCCAGCTGTAAATCACCGGCTGTAACACACGGGCACAGCAGTCATGCCAAAACACTCAGGCAGGCATTGCACTTCACAAGGTCCAGATAGATCTGTTTCATCTATTTTTTATGATAGTTATCAAAAAAAGTTTTACAATTTCATGAGTTTCACTTACTCAAATTTCTTGTGTGTGTGTGTGTGTGTATGTAGTATCATAATGTAAGATACAAAGGAATGTCTTTTGATTTCATTTACCTCTGCTCCAGACCAGTTTTCCAGGGGGTCTCAAGGGACATATTATAGAGAGCACTTCAGAGTGGGGACAGCATGACACACAGACACTACTTACTTCTCAATAGAAACTGTGTGAGAAGTGAGTAGAGACAAAGACTTCAGCAGGAATAACATTCACCCACAAGTCCAGTCACAGCAGTGTGGAGTTCTGCTTGTTAGCGGAAGGGAAGATGCTGTGACAAGGGAGAGAATCTCACCAAAGGAAACCATAGGTTAAGGTTTAGTGCGTTCAGAGTTAGTGCTGCTTAGATGCAACACACAGTTTTTATGTCAGTGGTAAAAGAGATCACAAGCAAGTTCGGAAGCAAGAGCCAGACAGGGTGCACACACCCTTAATCCTGGCACTTAGAAGGGAGCCAAATGGACCTCTTAGGAGTTCGAGGCAGCCTGGTCTATACACTGAGTTCTATGCCAACCGAGACTATGTAGTGGGACCCTGTCTCAAAACAAACAAAAGACTGAGCAAAAGAGGAAGCAAGAGTGAAGGGAGGAGGCACACTCACTTTGTGACAGCCTGCTCTCTATGCTGGACATTAATCCCTTCTGCCTGTGATGGTTCCAAGATCCAGTCACCTTCCACTAAGTCAACCCCATAAACATCCTACTACATGGCACACAGACAACACCGTAACAGGTTCAAGTGAATTCCAAAGCTGGCTAAAAGAACAAAGATGCCAGTAGAGGCAGGAAACGGGGCGTGGCTAGAGCAGCACTCTATGCCTCTGTGCCTGGGACATGAACATAGATGGTTTCATCTCATCTGTAAAGTACAGAAGTTGATATGAGATGTCCTCTGTATGCATTGCTTTTATTTGTTCTGGAATTGCAGGTCTAATTTAGCTGGAACTGTATTATTGCACTCTGTCAAGATAAACCTTCACTTCTGTGTAAATTTTTCCTGTTGGAGCAAGGGTATGTATGAAGTAAAGGTGGTTTAGCAGTTATTCAGCAGGCCGTTCTGTTTTGTGTATTAAAATGGGTAGTGTTTGTACTTGTAAAAATCCTCTGTCAGTAATTCAGATTGCTTTTTAAAGAAAGAGAAGAGAGGAAAAAAAAATAGCTCAGCAAAGTCTTATCCTGGGACCTGGGTATGCTCCAGAAAAATCCTGGTTAAAAAAAAAAATAAAACAAAAACAAAACTAATCATGCCAGGGCTTGCTCGTTAATCCCAGTGCTGAGAAGGGACAATACATAGCTTAGCCTGCTAACCAAGTCCCAGGCCAGTGAGAGACCTGGGTGCTTGAGAAATGGCAAATAAGGTTGTCTTCTGGCCTTCATGAGCATATGCACCAGTAGACACATATACATAAAGAATAGGAAGAGATGACTCGGCTTAAGAACACTGGCTGCTCTTCCAAAGGGCCCAGGTTCAATTCCCAGCACCCACATTGCTATTCACAACTGCCTGTAACTCTAATTCCAGAGGATCTGGCATCCTCACATAGACATACATGCAGGCAAAACCCCAACATATATGTACACACATACATAATAAATTAGAATAGGAAGAAATCTCAGTTTTTTTTAATTTATTTATTATGTACACAATACTCATCCTGCCTGTATTTCTGCAGGCCAGAAGAGGGCACCAAATCTCATTACAGATGGTTGTGAGCCACCATGTGGTTGCTGGGAATTGAACTCAGGACCTTTGGAAGAACAGGCAATGCTCTTAACTGCTGAGCCATCTCTCCAGCCCAAGAAATCTCAGATTTTTTGAAAGATTTTTTAACTTATGTGTATGCAATGTTTATTTGGCCTCTTGTGTCTACCCCAGCCCACTGTGCCCTCATCTTAAATTCCTACATATGCAAAGACCCTATTTTTAAGAAACATTTAGTAACGTGTATGTGTGTGGGATGTGTACGTGAGTGTAGGTGTGTGAGGAGACCAGAGATGGCGTCAGACGCTCTGGGTCTGGGGTTACAGGTGACTGAGAGCCACCTGTTGGGGGCGCTGAGCACCAAGTGTGTGACCTCTGGAGAACAGCATGAACTCTGAATTGCTGGGCTATCTCTCCAGCCCAGGAGAATCCTCTCGTTTTCTTGCTCAGATACCTGGAGAAGTAGGAAGTGCTAAGAATTCTAGGGGAGATTCAGTGAGAAGCCTGTAACAACTCGTTAGTGGAAAACCTGCACTCCAGTGGCCATGTATTTTCCTTTGCCCCTGTAGGGTTCAGCTCGGCACACCAGCATATGCATGTTCATTTGCTAGTGTCCAGTCACAGATCTTAATGCTAAATACTGCATCAAGGCCAAAGTGTCACTTGGACAACAGGCACGAAACTGGATTTTATTTATGAATAAGCCCAAAGGCAATTGCAATTTTAATTCTACGATTATTGAATGACTGGTATGTATATGTCCTGGAGCCCAAAGACCACTTTAAAATGTCAAGTTGGAGGCCTGCCTGAATACCACAAGAAAACGTGTTCCTGCCTACAGTGGGTTTGAGAGCATCTGTATACATAGGAACCACTTTGTCCTCCCCCTGGTGTTAATGTTAATATAGAGATCAAGAGAAGCTACACTGATGTTTGGGGATTTTTTTTTGTTTTGTTTTCATTAAAAAAGTCACGGAGTAATAAATATTAAAATTAAATTCAATAGCCTACAACTGGATGGTTGTTGAGTTGAATATTTAGAAGTGAAAATGTCTAGAGAAGAAACAGTCCAGGGCATAGGAAATGGGGCTCTGTTGTTGCACAAGTGAAGCTGCTTTTTAAGGCACTTGCTTTCTCTGAGTCAGAAGTGCGGTGATAGCAAAGCTGGGTAGACTGCTCAGAGCCGTGCTTCTCAGCCTTCCTAGTGCTGCAATCCTTAAATGCAGTTCCTCATGTCATGGTGACCCCCCAACCATAAAATTATTTTTGTTGCTACTTTCTAACTCTAATTTTGCTCCTGTTATGAATTGCAATATAAAATCTGTGTTTTCAGATAGTCTTAGCGACCCCTGTGAAAGGAAGGGTCTTTCCACCCTCAAAGGGGTCATGACCCACAGGTCCAGAACCACTGGCTTAGAGTCTCACAAATCTGCAGTAAATAGTTCCTACTGATGTTGGGTTCTCAGCATTAAGATTGAGCAGGGCCCTGCTTCCAGTCTCTGCGATTATTGGCAGAATTCACTTCTGTGTGATTGTAGAACTGATGGAAAGCCACCTCTTCCAAACCAACACTGGGGAGACTAGCAAGATGGATATTATTAAGTACATAAAGCATCTTGATCATGTTCTACTGGCCAGAATCAAACCACAGATCTTGTCCCATTTCAAGGAAGAGAGGGGTTACATGCGTGACTTGCAGGAGTCTACCGGTTGAAACAAGTCCATCCGGTGAGCACTGGCTGGCGTGTTCCTGTGTCAGTTCCAAGTCTGTGCTTTGATATATGGCAAGGGGCAGTACACCCCAAGAGTTGATATATGGCAAGGGGCAGTACACCCCAAGAGTTGTGTGGGTGGCAAGCTCTTCAGATTGAGGTTCCTCTGCTTCACGTGGTTGGTCTCAAGACCTTGTAAGGACTGGTTCCTTAGTCCTGACTTCATGTCTCTAAGGATTGCTTCATTTGGATTTATCTGCTTTGGTCTATATTTGTCTGGCCAGAGGTTTGGTCTGGCCTCTAGACCAAAATGGTCTGACCATTTCCAAATATGAGTCAGATATAAAGTCAGGTGGTTGTGGTGCACGCCTTTAATCCCGGCATATGGGAGGAAGAGGTAGGCAGATCTCTGTGAGTTCAAGGGCAGCCTGGTCTGCAGATCTAGTGTCAAGACAGCCAGGGCTACACAAGGAAAGAAATCCTATCTTGAAAAACAAAACAAAGAGTCAGATATAAAACACTGGTCCCTAAATAAAAAAGGTTACCCTTAAAATGGCATCCAGCAAACTGAGAACTGATCTGTGCGTTATTTCTGTCTACTTTTACTTTTGTCTACTTTTGTTTTTGTTTTCTTTGAAATTATTAAAATATGGAACAAGTAGTCGTAGGCACTAAGTAATTCTTCATATTCTCATTGCTAGCTTCCTTGTATGAAAAAATTGTTAGTCGATAGAGGTAATTATACCAAGTGCAGTAATTACAGAGAAATGCAGATGCTTCTGTGTTCATATGATAGATATGATCAGGTATTATAGTGCAGACCTGTAATCCTAATGTTGGTGAGATTGAGGCAAAAGATTTATGAGTCTGAGGCCAGCCTTGGCTGCACAGCAAGGCCATTTCTCAGAAGCACTTATATCAGATGGTGCATCAAAGAAAATTCAAACAAACTTTATCAAAACAACACACGGTAGGGGATGTAGGAGGGAGATCTGCTGACCTCATAGCAGTTGAGAATGAATGGAAGGGGGAAAGAGAGGCTGGGGCTTGATATCAGCTCCCAGGGTGTGTCCTCCGTGGCTAGAAGACCGTTTGAAAATGCTACCTCCTCCTGTTGATGCCAGGTTGGGGCCAAGCCTTTAACATGTGGGCTTGGGTGGGGCATTCTAGATCCAAATGATAGCAACTCCATTCACCCCCCATTTTGAGAAAATTTTTAAAGTGAAAGTTCAACTTTCCAATGGAAAACCTGACCCATGATCATTATCTCCAAGAGGAGCACAGGCAGCAAAGCTGAAGAAGACTGAGGTGGGTGGAGACACAAGAAAATTTAATGGTGCCGTATTTGGGGATTAACATCTTAAATTCCCGAGAATTCGCTATTGTGCTACAGATGGTGACTGAGATAGTTCGATTGTGATTCAACAGCCGTTCTAGGAGATTCTGCAGCAGCCTGGCACAGAGGCAGGAGGCATTATAGACTTGTGTTTTTCAGTCAGAGATGTAAACAGGAAGCCCTGGAAGGATGCTCCCTGCCTTGTGGAGCAGAGGTTGTCAGTACCTCTGTGTCCCCGAGCCTCTCAATGGAATTCTCGCTTGATCTGCCTGCTTGTGTCTGAAACTCTTGGTCTTGGAAGTTTGGACCAGTGCCCTATATCTGTGCTTGTGTAGAAGCCACACCCTCCCCACCCAGAGGAAGACACCGCCACCCAGTGGCTTTCAGAGACTCTAGTCCTGCGCCATACAGTTAGTTAATTCTGAGGTGAATGTCCCGCACACTTCCACATGGCTTTCCTGCAAGGCTGAGTCCCACTGCGCACTAGAGTGGTTGGCTTGGTGACACCTTTCACTATTTTCTCATCCCTTATCACTGAACCACTTTAGAACTGTTTTCTGTGTCCCCCTCCCCAACATAAACTATTTGCACCCACATTTTTGTCACAGGTCTGGTCCTGAGGGAACCAAACCAAGAGGCCTTTAATATCTGGCCCTCTATAGGACTTCTCTCAGTGTGTCGGTCAGAACAAGAACCCCAGGCACACAGATTCAAGGTGTAAGCCAGTGTACTACTTCCAGTTTTATTAATTACTGGGAGCTTATCTGGCTTACACAGTAGCTGACATCAAAGGGGCTGATGTTGAATGAAATCAACGTTTCCAGGGGAAAGTCCAAAAGAAATCATGCAGGGAGGAGAACAAAGACATTCAATAGCTGGGAAAGCTTTGGCTTTGTCGAATCCTAAGAGATGATTACACAGCAGGTGTGATGGCCCACACTTGTAAGACCAGGACTTGAAAAGCAGAGGCAAGAGAATCTATGAGTTTGAGGGCAGTTTGGGATATAGAGTGAGACCTTGTCTCAAAAACAGTGATTCCTGGTTCTAATTTTGGGTGGACTGGGTAGACTTTGGGCAGAAATGGTTTACCTGACTCTTTCCAAAGTAACCAAAGGAAGGATGATAAAATTTTGGCTCCTTCTCAGCAAGAGGGGGGACAGGCAGAAAATGTCCAACAAGAACAAAAAAACTGTCAGACAGTGGTGGCACACACCTTTAATCACAACACTCGAGAGGCAGAGACAGGCGGATCTCTGTGAGTTCGAGGCCAGCCTGGTCTACAGAGGAAGTTCCAGGACAGGCTCCAAAGCTACAGAGAGAAACCCTGTCTCAAAGAAAGAAAGAGAGAGAAGAAAGGAAGGAAGGAAGGAAGGAAGGAAGGAAGGAAGGAAGGAAGGAAGGAAGGAAGGAAGGAAGGAAGAACAAAAGACCTAGGAGTCACTTGGCAGGGGTACCAAAGCTTCACAACCCAACACATTATTGTGTCTTCTCTTGAAGGGGCAACCAAAATCCACAGCCAGCAGCCTTCATCTCCTCTGAGACAGAAATATCTCATAAGCCCTAGCAATTGGGACAAAAACTGGGAAACAGACAAAGGTTCACTTCTTATTAGTAATTCTGCTAGGCACAGTAGAGGTTCAAATCATGGTCTAAAATGAAGCCTGGCCAGAACAGGCACTTGCCATGTGCCATGATGTTCATATTGACAGCAATGAAATTGTACATATGTCTATGACTATTTCTTAGGAACCATATGTGGACTTAGGGTCTTTTCTTTCTTCTTTGTGATAAAGATGGAACCTGGAGCCTTGCACATGCTAGACAAGAGCTCAACAACTGAACTATATCCCCACCTCTCTTCCTTCTTTCCTTCCTTTCTTTTGCTTGCTTTTATTAAAAAGTTTAGCAATGAACTTTCTTTCATAATTCTATCTATTTGTTCCTATTGAGTGCAATGGGCTAATATTAAACTTTGAAAGAGGGGCCAGTTGAGTTCCACGTCAATGCGCCTCTGCCTAGAAGCCATGTCTTTTATAGAATTTGGCTCGGGCAATAAGATCATCAACTAAATCAGCTTCTATGTCTGCAGGAGTAACAATGGTTTCCAGTCCTGACTTAAAAGCAGCCAGACCACCTGAAATGAAACACAGAGGTTTAGATTCCAATATTAGCTGTCAGTAGACATAAAACATGAGCTCCCAGGATATTAACTCTCCACCCTCCGGGCAAATATTCCAGAGTAACAAGGTTTCTGTCTCTCTTTACATAGCACAGATCTGATAGAACTAATACAAGATTGTGACATTTTCTCATCTAGTCAACAATTCACTTCTTCACTCATTCATGTTTGTTTTTTTCATGATTATTATCTGTACAGTGTTCTGCCTGCATGTATGCCTGCAAGTCAGAAGAGGGCACCAGATCTCATTACAGATTGTTGTGAGCCACCATGTGGTTGTTGGGAATTGAACCCAGGTCCTCTGAAAGAGCAGCCAGTGCTTTTAACCACTGAGTCATTTTTTTCCAGGCCCCTCATTCATAGGTTTTAAAACACCCCTGAGTGCCAGAAAAGGCTCCTCACTGTGTGCAAGATACACACGATGTATTCATTCCTCGTGGAGGCCTGTGTACATGCATGCACTATTTTACCCTAGAAGTTTGTCTTCAATCATCATTAGTATATTTAAATGAATTGTACTTTATGCTCATATTCTCCTTCCTACCTTCGAGGACCTTGAGATAGAAAATTCTTTGCTCAGAGTTCAGACTGTTAAAGTGTGGAAAGAGAGAATAATGTGAATATACAAATCATGATCCTGTAAGAGAAACTGAGGAATTGGTGTGGCTGGATGGATAGAAAGAAAAAAACAAATGAGTCCAAGAAGAAAAATAATCATTTTTTTTCCTGGCTATGATGACTGGCTATAGCAGTGTCTCTAAATATATATATACATACATACATACATACATACATACATACATACATACATACATAAAACGAAAGCAAAAGGAACATATGGTGGCGGGGCTAGTGAGTGGTTTCCATCAGGGAGCTGCTGAACTCGAGGGGCTCTGAGTTCAGCCAAACAGAAATTTTCACTTAGACTTCTTGGGGTAACTGAAGCTCTAACATTGCAGAGTAAACGTTTATTCAAGCAATTTGGAGAATAGTTAATAGTGTTGGATCAGGGGGAAAAGCTATGAGAAGGTAAACACTTTTTAACTATTGTGTTAATGTTTAAGGTGTCATCCAGTGGCTTACTAGTTGGCTAGAAGGACAATAAGAAAGCCAACATCTTGTAGGAGGGCTAAGGGTGTTAAGACATGCATGGCTCAGAGGATGCTAAGGCACTCTTTAAGATGGGCTTCCTCCCCGTCAACCCAGTGGGGATGCTTCTAGGGCACATTTGCTGTTAGGAGTCTCATTCACCGCTCATTTAGATACAGCTCTAGACATAAAGCCTACCTTTGAGGTGCTGAGCTGAATTCCATGTGGGAAATTTTCTCTGGATTGCCTTAATCTTCTCTGCTAGAATCCCAACAGACTGTAGAAGGTGTTCTTTGCTGTCCCAAGAGCCAATAGGATGGTGCATTTTATCAAGCTGGAAAATCCAAACAGTTGTATTGGTATCTGGGCAAGGTGGCACAGTTTCCACTGTTCCTAGGTCTCCCTCTTTGGATTTAAGTTCAAACACTGGGTTCAGCATCTTTCATTCCCGCCCCCCCCCCACACTTTGTATTCAAATTCAAATGCTGGCTTCAGCATCTTTCCTTTGATCCACAGAAGGCTATATACTCCAATGTATTGTCTTTTACAGCGAGAGTCAGAGAAATACCAGTTTGGGATAAGCTCACTTGGGGCTTTCTGATAAGCAAAAGAAGGAAGGAGGAGGAGGGTGAGAAGGAAAATATGTTTCAAAACGAATAGTAACTACTATCCAACCCCTAGACATTTACAATGAAAATAATTATGTAACCAAGTCAAATAAAACATTGTTTCTGCTAGACTTGGAGATATAGGTAACTAAAGAGGCGGAGGCAGGAGAGCTACCACAAGCTCTAGGCCAGCGTGGGCTACTAAGCAAGTTTCAGCTTGGCCAGAGTTACAGAGTGAGTTGCTGCTTGACTCAGAACCAACAAACAAAAGACCTGGAAAAAAATATCTAGATAATGAGGCTCCCCTTCCTCCAGTTAATCCAAAGGAACAAAGGTAGCTGAAGAGGGGCTCAATTATAGTATTTCAATTCACGTTCATGAGTTTTACTACTTCAGGAGCCCCAAGAAGACATTTATTATTATTATTATTATTATTATTATTACTTAAGGGTTAATAGTAACCTTTATGAACTTTTCCCAATTGAAGTATAGTTCATGTGGTTTATAATATCTATAGATATAGGTATAGTTGATACATTGTAGTTATGAGACACAGGAAACACTTTAAAGAAATTCTAGTCCTTGAGTGAAACACCACAGATATGTCACAGAGCAAAGTGTACCGCATTCCCTAAGCTCAGGCACTCGGATGTTCATGTCCTGAAATGGACTTTGAGTTTGGGCTGAACTTCTGCAAGGAGAGATAGAGCTGGGCTGATGGAAAGTCTCTGGCTATCTACCTGCATCAAACCAAATTTCTGCCCCCTATGGTCCCAGCCATTTTGCAGGACAACTCCACCATGGCTTTCTCTGGAGATGATGGCGGCGATGATAGCGGGGTCGATGCAGTATCTCTGTCCCACTTCTTTGATGAGGATGCGGTAAGGCTTGATGGCTTTCAAGTCCATCTCGGCAAACATTTCGGAACCGTGGACCCCTATGTCAAAAGAAAAGAAACCATTTCCTCTACTCCAGAAAAGGACGGGTTCTCAGAGTTTACTAATTCAGCCTCAGCTTCTGATCACACCCACAGCTCAGGACGATCATTCCAAGACCGTTCTTAGGTCAGTCGGACCTCTAATTGCAGAAACCTAGGCAGGTCCACCAACTCCTGTTGGAGTCGCTGCGCTTGTCTCTCTGCTTCCTGCCTTACTAGAAGTCAGTGGAGCCACTGCCACCAGCCAGTTCTGTGCCGGAGGATGTGACTCCTTGCTGAGCCTCTGGTCCGTGCCTTGAAAACATGGGTTTAAACGCGGCCTTGCGTGGAGAAGATTTTGGAATGGAATTGCAGAGGAGGGACATGTCAAGAGCAAGAGACTCTGCTTGCCTTAGAATACTCATGCTGCAGCACGAACCAAACACAACAAAGTCAGAACTGAGCCTTTTATTTGAGGAATGGTTTTGCTGTATCAAAATCAACACACCTTGACATTTGGAAAAAATCAGGAAGAAAACAAAAAGTGGTTAGGTTGGCTAGGGCGCTTTTGTTTTATTTTGTTTTGTTTGTTTGTTTTTGTTTTTAGACAGGGTTTTCCTGGTTGGCCTAGCACTCAAAATATAGAGTATAGCCTCAGATCCATTTCTTTCTGCCTTGGGAGAGTTAGGTTTAAAGGTGTGCACCACCATATCCAGCGTACTTTTTTAAGTTTTAATTTTGATTCATGATTGTTATTGTAATGTCGGCCCCTTTTCAAAACCAATTACCTCCTAAGGAAAACTTTGTAAATGATAGTGGGAATGATGGCCAGGACCCTGCTCTCTTTGTACTTACCACAGTTCATCAGATTATTGATGTCACAGGGGGCCCCAAAAGTCTCCATAGTCATGATGTCTCCATAGCAACCATGGTAAAGTCGAGCATGCAGATGAGGGTTCATAGAATGAGTGAGGGGGTGTGAGCCCCTGGAAGTGCCTGGAAGGCAAATGATGATCTATGTAAATCCTGTGAGAAAACACTGCTGGATTTGGCTGACTACACACCACACACACACACACACACACACACACACACACACACACACAAAGTTATGCAAGAGTAGAGACCATAATTTATTCCTGCTCAACTCCTTTTTCTACCAATAATTCATCAGTCAGTCAAGGCAAAAATTTGATTCCAAACTGTTTTAACTTCTAGGCGTTATTCCAGAACACAATGGAAATACGTGTGAAAATCAGTGCATATAGGTTTTATAATGTCATGTATGTTTATATATATCAAGAAATATAGAATAGGTACTGTTTACATAGTATTCACTGTTGTAGAATATGTTTCCCCTGTGAAGTCATGTCTTTGTTGAGGTGTCTTCTGATTGGTTTAATAAAGAGCTATATGGTCAATAGCTAGACAGGAAGAGGTTAGGCAGGACTTCCAGAGACAGAGAGGATTCTGGGAAGAAGAAAGGTGGAGATGCCAAGAGATACAGAGCAAGCGGGATGGATGCACAGGAGGAAAGGTCACAGCCACAGTCATGTACCAGAATGTAGGTTATCATAAATGGGTTATTTTAAGTTATAAGAGCTAGTTAGGAAGAAGCCTAAGCTATAGGCCAAGTTTTCATAATTAATTAAGTCTCCGTGTCATTATTTGGGAATTGCTGGGACACAGAAAGACTTGTTACTATTCACATTGCATTAAATATTAAAAATCTTATAAATCATATAAAGGGGCTGGAGAAATTGCTCAGCAGTTAAAAGCACTGGGTGCTCTTCCAGAGGTCCTGAGTTCAATTCCCAGCACCCACATGGTGGCCTACAACTATCTCTAGTGGGATCTGATACCCTCTTCTGTCATAAAGGCACACATGCAGATAGGTCACTCATATATAAAATAAATCTTAAAAATTTAAATATCTTCTAAAGTTGATTTAAAATACAAGAGATGTGTGGGTTGCTATGCAAATCATATTCCATTTTATTAGGAATAGGGATGGACCATTCTCAGATTTTCATATTCACAGGAGTCATAAAACCACCACACTGATACTTAGGAACAACTGTACACCAGAGCGAAGGAATAATGGACTCCATAATACAGATGCACATAAAATCTAAGGTACCTGGTTTGGGAATGAGGCTACAGAATAAAGACATCTATGCAGAAACTGACCCCTTCTTCCTGCTCCGCGACCACTATGGTGGAAACTGGAGCTACAGACAGTTGTGAACCATCATGAGATACTGGGAATCAGGCCTGGGTCCTCTAGAAGAGCAGTCACTGCTCCTAACAGCTGAACCATCTCTCCAGCCCGAGACAAAAGAGTTTGTTGTTATAAATTTGCTCTAAAAGACTCCAACCAAACATATGCATGTCACATACAGATATGTATGTGCATGAACACACATGCATGCGTGCATACACACACACACACACACACACCAAACTTCAAAGCCAAACAAAGTAGGCGAGGTGGGGGGAGGCTTGGTAAAATAAGAGAGGCAAAGGGTTGAAGCTGTAAAAGCTTGTTATGGGTTTGGGAAAGCTTACTATACAATTCTCTGTTTTGTAGGTTTGAAATTTTCTACAGCTAAAATAATTTATTTTATTTTAGCTAAAAGAAGTTTTAGAGCCCGGCGGTGGTAGTGGACGCCTTTAATCCCAGCCCTCGGGAGGCAAGTGGATCTCTGTGAATTTGAGGCCAGCTCTTGTAGACCTAGTTCCAGGACAGGTAGGACTGTTACATAGAGAAACCCTGTCTGAGGAAAAAAAAAAAAAAAAAAAAGAATTTTTAGGCCAGGTGGTGGAGCTCAGAACACATCAAGTAGAGCGCTGGCCTAACTTGTGTCAAGCTCTGGGTTTTATCACCAACAAGACATAAACTGGGAGTGGAGGAACACATCCGCAATCCCCACACTCAATAGCATTAGGGGATCGGGAGTTAAGGGCCATTCTAGGCTACAAGGTGGAATTCAAGCTTTAGCTACTGTGACACTACTGGAATGGGGCTTATTGCAGGGCTTATCGAACAAAGTTTCAATCCTCAGTACCCAAAAATTTGCTTTAATCAGCAAGCCTTTTTTGTTCACCTATATTAAAAAGGTGAACAAAATCATCCTTACACTTTGTTCTTGGCCCCTGATTCCTTACATTACTATAAATATATCGACAGGCTCACTATCTATTAACAGAGAGGAGGCCTTTGTCATGTTTACTGTGTAGCCTGCATCCCACAGACTTCAAAGCAACCTGGGATACTTATTAAAAAAATGTTTGCCCTGGGGCTCCTCAATACCATGTATATTGACTCAGAAATGTTGACCCCCCCAAGGCCAAGTAGCATTCTTAGTTAATATTTTATTTGTTTGTTTGTTTTCAAGACAGGGCTTCTCTGTGTAGCTTTGGAGCCTGGACTAGCACTTGCTTAGCAGACCAGGCTGGCCTCGAACTCACAGAGATCCACCTGCCTCTGCCTCCCGAGTGCTGGGATTAAAGGCGTGCGCCACCATTGCCCCTCAGGTGACTTTCATGCATGCTTGAGAATCGTTGCTTTAAGAGACCTGCAATATGATCGTGAGCTTGTGCTAACATCAACACACAGGTCTTTTTAAGATTGGTCATCCTTCACTTGTACACAGATCATACGGTGGCTCATAATTAATTCACTGGCTATACAACTCTGCAATTAAAAATGAGTAAAAACTTTAAAAACATGTTGCTTTGCTTTTGACCAAAAGTAACTGCAAATTATTGCTCTTGGGTTGGGCTCCCGTTTCCAAACTTAGAAGGAAGACTTTCAAAGAACTCTCTTCTCAGTCTATCATGACAACTGAACACTGCTTACAATTGCTCTTCATTTTTCTTAAACTACCGTTTCCACATTTTCTTTCCTTATATCTGTCTGTCTGTCTATCCATCTATCTTTTGTTGAGACAAATTCTCACTCTGTAGTGAGAATTTCAAACGTGTGGCACTTCTTTGGCATTAGCCTCCTGAGTGCTAGGGTTACAGGTGTGAGACACCACACCTGGTTCATCTCTTCTTGTCCAAGATCCCTTTCTGTCCCACTAACCTTCTCCAGGACCAGGGTTCTAGTCCCAGCACCCACACAGTGGTTCATAGCCATCTGCAATTACAGTTTTGGGGTATCCAATGCCCTCTTCTGTCCTGCACAGGCAGGCACATGGTGCACAGACATATACAGGCAGGCCAATCACCCATATACATATAGTAAAATAATTGCAAACGTTTAAATAAATCTTCTGTTCTGGCTTTACCAACCGGCTCACTTTATCACAAATACTTCATCTCCACACAGGGCTTTTACTAAGTCGTTTCTTCCATCCAGCAGGCTCTTCCCTTCTCATAGGGATCACCATGCCTCCCTCACTCTTTCCATGGCCTCCCCCAAGGCTTTCAGGTCTGAACGTCCTCGATAGATGTGAACTTTTCATTCTCAGCTCCCACACTCATGGATTTTCCCTCTCCTTATACTCATCTAATAACTCTCAACCCACTACCTGGAGTCGAGAATTTTCTCTTCATGTGCCATTCTCCTCTTTCTTCATAAGAATGCACCAAGTAGGTGCATTGTCAGAGATACATAGAACAATTAGTATTTAATTATTTTAAATCCTCACTAATATCTCCTTTGTGCGCTTAGCAAACAGAAAACACTCCTAAGGATAAGCAGTTGGCCTAGGCTAGGGAGGTAGCTCAGTTGCTGTGCTTATTGGGCTAGCTTGACTGCCAGCCTAGCCAAATCATAAACTCCAGGTTCTGTGAGAGGCCTGACCCAATCTCAAAAAAGAAAAAAAAGGTGGAGAATGATTGAGGAAAACACTTGATGTTGATTTTAACCTCTCCTTCTGTGTGTGTGTGAGCATGCATGCACACGCGTGCGCACATACCCCGTACATATATTTATATGCATACCTGAATGGACACACACACACAAAGAAAAGCAAAGACAAGAAATAAGCAGTTGGTTAATGGCCAAGCAAGTCCAGGAGAGCCCACTCTTCTATTGCATATAATCATTGTTCTTTCTGACTATGTTAGAAAACAGACACCCTGGAATAGGGACTTTAATGGACACACACACACAAAGAAAAGCAAAGACAAGAAATAAGCAGTTGGTTAATGGCCAAGCAAGTCCAGGAGAGCCCACTCTTCTATTGCATATAATCATTGTTCTTTCTGACTATGTTAGAAAACAGACACCCTGGAATAGGGAAAAATGCCAATCAGTTACTTACCAATGAGGGCAACCAGTCCCCAGAACACCGCCAAGGGTAGCATGCTGGCGACTCTTATCCTTTGGGACCTGTTCTGCTTTGAAACAGAAACAGATTACTCTTAAAACATGAAGGTTTCTTAACAGGAAGTTCCTCTGATTTAAAAAGTAAATAAAAAAAAAAAAAGCTTGGCATCGTTTCCAGTTCAATGCCCATTTTCCAGTTCTACAGCAGCATTCCTGTAGCCGCGAGCCTGTATGTCGTTAGAGCATTCCCAGTTCATTTCAATCCCGTGCCATGCAGATCTCACCTCTTACGTACGTCACCCCACATACACTTAGAGGTTTGCTGCATTCCGTCTCCTCCCAAACAGGTTCTTCCCTTGGTTCCGTTTATAAAGCATCTTATACGTTTCACAAGATACAAGAAAACTAGCGCTTACCTCCTTTGCAGCTTCCCAGAGAAAACTCTCCTGCCTTTGAAGAAGCCTTTAGTGGCAGCACCCTGCAGGTTAAGGTTTGACAGAGTGGTGGCCTTTACTGTACTATGTCCTATAACACAGCTATAACAGTTGGAGAACCCATCAGGCAGTGGCTCGCTGCCCCTCTGGCTTCATTCAGCTGAGCAGAGCTCAGTGTGACTCCACCACCAAGAAGGAAGCTTTTAAGCACGGGCACTTAGACTCACCTGCCTCGTCTGCTTTTGTACTGTACCAATGATTGGCAGAGGAGTTTTATATATGATTTAAAGGCCTCCCTTTAAACCATCGGCCTCATTAGACCTGATTATAGTTGTACTTTGGATTTAAGTGGCTCTTTCCACAAAAGGACTTCAAAGTGTTTATTGACCACGATGAATTGATGAATCTAATGAACCCCCAGGTTGTACTGGAGGCCTCTATTTGGTGGACCATTTCTGGATACCTGGAATGACACTAGCCAGGCGTCTTCTAAATTTGAGATTAAGATGCCGATAATTGGCCTAGAAAGAAGAAATAAACAGGAAATGCTAGCTCGTTTCTGAATGGATAATTCACCTGAGATGCCGATTTCCACATTCTGGTGTCACAGGGTTCCCACACGAAGATGTCACACATCTTGTACCATCGTGTCCCTCGACTGTGACAGATGAACTTGGCTTCTGACTCCAAACTCACCTCTAACAGGGTAGCTACCTGCTATAGAAGAGCAACAGAAAGGCAGGGAGTAGCAATCTGGGTGCTCATTTGTCCCCACTGTTTTCTCTGTGTGCGCATGCATGTGTGTGTCGGGGTCACAGGTCAATATCAGATAGCTTCCTCTTTCAAGCTCCACATTTTTTTTTGAGACAGGGTCTCTCACTGGACCTATCGCTAACTAGGCAATAATAGCTGCTATTCTTATATACTCTTATATTCTTATATATTCTTATGCTTATATTCTTATATATACTTTTAAGTATATATACTTATACTCATATTCTTATACTCTTATATTCTTATATACTCTTGTCTCTGTCTCCCAAACACTAGGAGTACAAATGCATGGCGCTGTGCCCAGAACCTTGCATGGGTGCCGAGAATCTGAACTCAGGGATTCTCGTTTGCATGCTCAGCACTTGCTGACTGAGCCACCTCTTTAGCTCTATCACTCCCAAACTTTCTAAGGAAGTAGGAGAAAAGGGTTTTGCTGGTGGTAAATGTATCTTCAACAAGACAATACCATTTTTTTTTCACGTGTATAAGAGATGAAAACACACACAGGAAATGGAAAGAACCTTCTTATACAAGGCAAAGCACATTTCCCAGACTTGAGGAAGAAGTTCAGCCTGGAGCTCTCCGTACATCAGGGATGTTTCAAAGACTGCCCACAATCCTTCCATCCACCAGAAGATGGAACACAAAGGCACTGAGCTAAACAACTCTTCAGTTTCCTAGGAAGATGGCAGAGCCTAGGAGAAGTTGCCTAAATGGAACTGATCCATATGTCTCAGGACACCCACTTCTGTCATGTATGCCTTCCTGCAAAGCAGGGGCATTCAGGATGGCGAGGCTAGGATGTCTGAGCTGATGGGTGATCCCTGATGCCTGTCATGAGTCTCAGGGAAATGACTCAGAGAGGGCCTCCTCTATCTCCGCTGTCAACCCCGCAGTCAGGGCTGTTCGTTTACTAATAAGGGGTTTTGCACAAGACTAGTTGCCTTAAGGCAGCTTTTAGAAACATGGAAGTTATTACTGGCAACAATGCCATCTTTCAGGTCACACCAAGGCATTGTGTTTGTTGCCTGCCCAACTGCTGGCCGGGGATGATTTGGGCTATGGATAGGAGACTTCCAGGATAAACACAAGAAAGCTCAGGAAAGGAGTAAGAAGGGATGGAGAAAGAATTTAAAGGTAAAACCAGGTGGAGGCTTCTATTGTCCCTAGATGCTCCTAGAAAGAACCAGCAGTCACAGAATACTGTTGATTGTGAGCATGCCCACTTCCTCTCCCCACTTTCAGAGGTGAGGCTGAGCGTCTTTCTAGGCAGAGAATCAGAATGTCCACACCCTCTGCAACTTGCACATCATTCTGCTTTGTTCGAGGGCGGGTGGTGGAAGAAAACTTACCTGACAGTCTTCAAATGCCAGACTCCTTTGTACTTAAAATATTGCATCCTCCAATAGGGGTGGGTATTGTTATTTTAGAAATAAGAAAACCAAGACTCAGAAAAGCTAAGCAACTTATCGAAGCTGGCACAGTAACTGTGTGGCAGAGTCGGGATCGGAACCTAGGTTCACGAGACTCTTTAGCCAGTGTTTCCACAAGAGCAGAGGGATCACTCTAAACCAAACTCTCGGCAGAGCAATGGTTACAGAAGGTGGAAAGCAGCTTGCACCCAAAGCCTCACCTGTGGTCTGAGTCAATAACACCAACCCCAAAGACTCGCACCATTATCTCTGGTGGTGCCGTGGCTTCTAAGGCACAGATTAATGTGAATGGACCGAATCCACTGTGTCCCATTGCCCCTGTAATGATTCAGTTAAAATGTATTGAACTTGAGCAGTAGGCTTGATAGAATGCTTGCAAAGGCATTGCAGAGGTGGCTGTACTCATAGAGACTTTAATGCCTATAACCTACTGACCCAGTAGATGGCTAAATTTGAACACATGAGGATTTCGTTGTTGTTGTTGTTTGAGATAGGGTTTCTTTGTGTAATAGCTCTGGCTGTCCTGGAACTCACTCTGTAGATCAGGCTGGCCTTTAACTCATAGGGATCCACCTGCCCCTGCCCTCCCCCTACACCAGTGCTGGGATTAAAGGATGTGCTACACCCTCCTGGCCTGAGGATCTTGACAATTTCTTGACATTTAAAAAGAAACCTACCAAATGGTTCTCCATCACTTTCCAAAGACAGTAAGAGTGACTATTTCCAGAAGGGTCTCGAGGGGACCTTGGCACCTGACACAATCTCCACCAGCCCCAAATAGGAATGGAAAATACACAAACAACATCCTTGCTCTGCAAACAAAACAGTCTGTGCCTAAGACTCTTTGGTGGAGCAATCTCTGGTAGCCTCTGCTGAGTCTTGATATGTTTGCATGCTGGCCTTAGGAGTGGGGATTCCAGTAGCCCCAGCATCTAACTACCTTCAGACATTGACTGAGGAACACACATGCAGTTTCCACAAAACTGTCTCATCAGAAGCAGGGATACAGCAAGAAGAGCCTGGTCCAGGCATCTTAGCTGTGTTACACAGTAGCTACTGGTCCAGGCATAGTTTTCTTCTGCATCTGGAGAGAAAAGGCTGGACAATAGCAGATGCCCAATGAGCAAAACTCTGCCGGTCAAACCCACTCTGCCTACCAAAGAGGGATTCCAAACAAGAGCTATCTAGCAAGGGATACAGACTAGGTCTATGATTCAGCTTTTGTCATTGTTCGTGGAAACACGGGCTACTTTTTAGTTCTCACCCAAACCTTAGGGACAGTTAAGTCACAGTGTGTTTTGAGGTGGCTTTCAAAGTGACTTTCCTCCTCTGTCTTGCAATTGATCAATAGTGTAGTCTTTTATAACATGGAAGTCCAGGATTTAAGTTGAAGACCCCCCACTGTTTCCTATTTTCATATGGAGAAGGATGTTATAGAGCAATGGTTCTCAATCTGTGGGTCATGGTCCCTTTGGGGGGATCGAATGACCCTTTTACAGAGGGTCAGTCATGTAAGGCCATTTGAAATATCACTATATTTACATTACAATTCATAACAGTATCAAAATTACAATTATGAAGTAACAACAAAATAATTTTATGGTTGGGGGTCCCCACAACATGAGGAACTGTATTGAAGGGTCATAGCATTAGTAAGGAATAGGGAGGGGGCTATTTGATGACTTGATTGTTGGTCTCAGCCTTCAATCCAGATCTCCCTGTCTGGATGTCCAGCATTGCCTCTGAAAGTGTTTAACCTTGCACAGCCAGGCTGCGGTGGCGCACGCCTTTAATCCCAGCGCTTGGGAGGCAGAGGCAGGCAGATCTGTGTGAGTTTGAGGCCATCTCAGTCTACAGAGTGAGTTCCAGGACAGCCAAGGCTACACAGAAACCCTGTCTCGAAAACAACAACAACAAAGAGTTACCTGAGAATGTTCTACAACAGTGGAGGCACTGACAAACACATTGCATTGGAGCCAAGATATTTTTCATCAGGGCTGTTAGTCTTGGTTGCTACTGCTCCTAATTTGAAGCCAGGTGGTGGGCGGGGTACAGCCTGAGGGAGTCATCGTGGCGCCAAGGATCCATTGTGGTGGTGCTGAGGTAAAAGTCAATGCCATCTGAAATTCTACAGAGTGTTACCTTTTCTTCTTGTGCTCTTTCAGCTTCCTAGCCTTGAGTCCTATGTTCTCTAAGGTTGTTGGATGGTTCCATATCACTAATGGTTGATAGATTTGAAGTGACGTCATTTTAAGGTACAATTCAAATTTCTTTAAATCGGGATATATATAGTGCCTTGAGTCTTGTTTTTTTCTGAGTGGAGAATGAGTCAATTCATCTGGTGACCCTGAAACCAGAGAATGAAGAAAATATACATCCCTAAAAGGTCATTATTTTTGTAATAAATGCAAACATTTGAAAAATCCACACCTTTACTATGGAGAAGAATATGAAATCTGTATAAATGTCTAAGAAAAAATAGCATCATATTCAAAAGCATCTCTGTCAGTTTTGCCTTGAGGCTCAGCTCCTAGTGCCCCCAGAGTGGCTCTTACAGGAGAGTTGCAGTGGAAAAGCTTAGAGTCTATGGTCAGACCACTCTGAACATGTCCAATATCATCTGATCTCAGAACAAAGTATGTTCAGGCTTAGTTAGTGCTGGTACTAGCCTAGTTAGTGTGAGATTAAGAAGTACAGCTACTCCAGGCTAGTGAACTCAGGGATCTTGAAGAAGAACCCACAACCGCCACTTTACCAAGCCTACATAATCTCTAATTACTCTATAAATATTTGCCTCACTCCCCATCAAGGAAACTTCTCTTTGCGATACACAAAGGCCATTACAGAAAACCACAGCCAATGCAGAGCTGTGGAGCCCGGTCTTGATAGGTAGATAACACTCCCACACCTAAGGCTCAGGGAACATTGTGGAAGAGGGGGTGGAAAGATTACAAGAGCCAGAAGATGATGGAATTTACTGGGAGATTGTCTCCTAGTAACGTCAGAAGCTATGCCCATAAAGTCTTCACACATGACTTCATAAACACGAGCTGAACAAGGACAACAACAATAGACATACAAAAGTCGATGAGGGAAAGACTGGGGCCTCGGCCCTTAACAAAAAACCACAGGCAACAAAGGAACGCTGAGTGTAGGGGAAATGATATTCTCCATGGAAGAAAACACCGATTGGTTTTCCGATACCAAATAGTCAACCCTGAAAAAATACATACATGTAACATTATTCAGACTGAGTAGATTATATTTAGGATTATACATGTATATACATCATATATGCATGTGACAATAATAACAACAAAAGGCCATGAATTTGGAAGAGAGTATGGAGGGATGTATGGGAGGGTTTAGAAGTTCAGTTGGTCTTGCACCCCTCCAGGGTGGCACATGCCTGTAACTCTGACATCTAGCAAGTCAATGTAGAAGGATCAGAAATTCAAGAACACCTTTGGCTACAAAGAAAGTCTGATACCAAGCTGGGCTGCATTAGACCCGAAAACAAACAAAGCAAACAAAAAAGCCTTGCCCTAACTAGAAGCTTATAAGCAATGATGGAAGCAGGGTCACAATTCAGGCTCCAGGGAGCATATTGGGAGAGCTTCCTTTGTGTCCTGGGCTGGCCTAGGTCGGTACCCTTCAGAGCTGTATGGAGTTCAGCATCTACAACTCCCATCATCCACTATCCTTCATCCCCACCCAGGAGTCTGCATGTTTGTGTCATGTTGAATCCCAGCCACAGGCCTCCTTTCTCGGAGAGAACAGCCAACGATTATGACCACAAGTGCCTCCCCAAACCTCCCTGAGCCTTCATTTTCTTCCTCTGTAAAATGCGGATGATAATGATGCCTCCGGACTTTGTTTTGAAGATAAAAATAAATTATACACACAGAAACATGTTATAAACCACGGGGCCTCCTCCACATGCCAGTTATTATGATGAGTTGTTCTCAGGCTTAGCTTCTTGTTGATTTATTCGTTTGTTTGTTGATTTATCCATGGGCTCGGGAAAAAGAATTAAGGGCTGATTCACGAGGCAGGCAAAACCTCCCTTTAGAATCAAGGGAAACGGAGCAGGACACATTGTTGGGACTCCGCAGCCTGCCTGGGACTGGAGGAAGGACAGTAGCAGAAACTGTCATCTGGGCAACAACAGCCAAGGCACCTGTTGCTCTGCTTAGACGCTGATGGGAGTGTGCTGTCCAAGACATATGACAGAAGGCAAGGCAGAAGGGGAACTCATCCATGAAAATCTCACCAGGAAATCCCATCCAAACCCTGAAAATCCAGTTTCAAACTGCTGATTGCTTTTGAAACATGTCTTGTCTCAGATAAGCCTTTACATGAAAGGTGAGGGACTGTATCATCTGGAGAAGTGGGTTTACATCGTGGTTTTACTCATCTGTCAATCAAATGCCAAACCAACATTTCAGGAAGAAAATATACAAAGATTTAAAAACTAAGATTTTGCAATTCTAAAGCAATATTGTGAAGATGAAGTAGCCAAAGGCTTCNTATACACATATGCCACACAAACAGGGAAATAAAAATTTAGTTATCTCCCATATTGGTAAAAATGTAGAGAACTCTCACAAACTATTGGGTAAAATGTATAAACATCTGGCTGCTTTGGAGAACTCTTTAGATGTTTCTAATAAAGGTAAAAATGCCAATGCCAGACACAGCTTTCTCCTGAGAGAGAGGGGGGTGCTTATTCTGAGTCAAATATAAGAGACTATGACCCAGGAACATGGATTCAGAATCCCCAGAGTGACATGCCCCGCTGAAGAAGTGATTCCGTGTCTTCTCTGGTCACAGAACAAAAGACAATCATCAATCACTGAATTTCTCAAATACATTCTTGGGGCAGGCCAGCAGACGGCAGGCAGGCATGCAGGGAAATTGCTACTGGTCCTACACGCCATGACAATCTTAACTTTGGGCTTTGTGGAAGCTAATGGTCTTCTAAATTAGAACACTTTCAAAGTTTATCTAGGAACTGAAAGGATACTAGGTCAGATGTAGATGGTAGGCAGTTATGGCTACGTAAGGGACTAAATCAATCCAAGATAATTTTGGCTCTCAGCAAAATTTCAATGTCCCACAATTATAAAAATTCTAATCAGGTCTGTTTTGGAGGAGTCTTTAAAACCAGTGAAACCAGCTATTTTCCCCAGAACTTACATGAACAGTTTTTCCTGCCAGTAAGGTAAACTGTTCATGCAAAGCACAGCTCTCATCTCAAAAGGTATATGATTTTGTTCTGGAACAAGTATGGATATTCATGTCTCGAGAACA